AAAAAAAAAAAAAAAAAAAAAAAAAATCCTCTGGTCTGGAAGTCAGATGTTAACTCTTCTATTCCTAGGGATTTATCTTATGGAAGCCCGGGAGCCAGTGTTTACCACATGGTGCCCGCCTTAGAGAAATTCAGTTTTTGTTGAATGAATGAAATGATGCAGGGCTTTGGGTGCACTTGAATCCACTTCCGTGTACTGATTCAGTTTTGTGGTATCGTTGTTCTGTAGGTCTAACGTCATCTACTTTTTTACATCCCTCAGAACTATGCTGATACTGTGCCTGCATCATTGATGTCTGCTAGCTGAATCTAAATTCAGTTAATAATGGACATTTGCATTTGATATTAGAATCTGAATGATGTATATAATTTTCTTTGCATAATCTCCACTGCTCACAGACCGGCCTCATTTTTTACTTTTAAAATTGACCCTAATCTACTCTTTAATCCTCATTTTAGACCACTCTCCTATGTGAACTGTTGGAGACAGTCTGGTTTGCTCACCATTTTCCAGATGTGCTTTTCACACTTAATACGTTTGTGACTCCTAAATGGTGACTTAGAAGGCCCCACTGAATTTTTTTTTTTTATGATGATTCATCCTTAGGCAAATTCTTAAACTTTCTAAGCCTCAGTTTCCTCATTCTTAAAATGAGAATAATAGAGTCTAGCTCAGACTTGCCTGTGGTGAGATAATGCACGTATTATGCATTTTCAAATTTCAGCTCTCTCACCTACTAGCTGTGTGATCTTGTCTAGGCCCCCTGGTCTTTGGGCTCTGATTTCCTCCTTTATGAAATGCGGCGAGGGCAGAAAGCATTCTGCAGTGCTTGTGCTCAGTTTAAGGTAGTGCTGTCCCACCGGGCTTGCAGCTACATGTCATTGGGCGCTTCTCAATCTCTCTGGGCCTCAGCTTTTTCAGTTGTGAAGTGAGCGTATTAACAGCACCTGACCGTTGTGAAGATCAGTGATGTGTATCCAGGATGCTTGCCAAGGACTAAAACATCATAGTAGATCCTTTTTAGTGGAGATGGGTGACAGCATTATAGCTGATGTCACCAGCCATTAAGATCTTCCAACCTTTGCTTACAAAGCACTTTTTCGATAATTTAGTTTTCCATGTAGCTTTCCTGTGGTGAAATTCAAAAGCTATTTCCATTTACCCAAAAGTAAACCTTAGTGTGTGCATTTGGGATGGTTTGGATTCAATTGCGTGAGGGACCCAAACATGATTCTCGCCTTATTTGGAGACCACTTCAAATAAGGCAGGTCCCAACTATGGAGTTGCTGATGGACAGTTTCCCCCCCTTTCCTCCTCTTCACTGGTGTAAGTGGGAGTCAAATCTGGGTTTCTGTCACTTGACAGCTGAAGGGGGAAGATATTCTGCCTCTTGTCAGAAATCCTTGCATCTCTATTCCAAACCTAGGAACAGTGCTTGTCATGGACATCAGGGTAAGTTGTAAAGGAACCAGTAGGGCTTGTACAAGGGAAAACTCCTGTCATCTTTTCTGACCTTTTGTAATGGTTACCATGCTGCCCACACCAGAATTGCAGTTTTGGACAATGACCAGTGCTTGGGATATAAATTCTTGTAACATGTTTTGGGGCTTTTACTTTTATGATTTTTCTACAAAATGAAATATGCAACTCCTTCGTCTATCTCTGAAAGGTTAAATTCTCTCCTCTTCATGTCTTTGTTATTTGCTCACTTTGGTAATCTTGTAGCATCAGATCATACTGTCCCACAGGAAGATATGTGCTGTAACTTCAACTCATCAAGTTGTTCCAAGTAGTTATCCATTGTAACAATTTAACTAGCCTGGATGCTCTATCTCAGTTGGTGGCACCACCTTGACCTACTAAGCCCCAAACTTGAGATTTTTGTGACTTTTCCTCTCATTCCACTTCAACCTCATCTTATTGATTGAACTTCCTATTTCTGAGCTTCTTTTTAAAATTTATTTTACTCATATTTAATTTTGGCTGCATTGGGTCTTCGTTGCTGTGCACGGGTTTTCTCTAGTTGCGGCGAGCAGGGGCTACTCTTCGTTGCAGTGTGCGGGCTTCTCATCGCGGTGGCTTCTCTTGTGTGGAGCATGGGCTCTAGGCACGCGGGCTTCAGTAGTTGTGGCGTGTGGGCTCAGTTGTGGCTCGCGGGCTCAGAAGTTGTGGCTCGCAGGTTCCAGAGCGCAGGCTCAGTAGTTGTGGCACAAGGGCTTCGTTGCTCCGTGGCATGTGGGATCTTCCCAGACCAGGGTTCGAACCCGTGTCCCCTGCCTTGGCAGGTGGATTCTTAACCACTGCACCACCAGGGAAGCCCTGAACTTCCTATTTCTGAACCCGTCTCTCTCTCCATCTTTACAATGATTGCCCTAATGCATCTCAACTCTTTCCTTTTTCGGGGTCGACTAAGTGATTGTCCTGCCTCTTGGTCTTAACCCTTTCAAATCTATCCTACAAGGAAAAGAATCCTTTCTGGCTTATAACCCTTCAGTTGTTCCCAATTTTAACTTTTCTCCCCACCCCCAATTTAAACTTTGATTTAATGGGTCCCATTCATACTTCCAAAGTCACCCCAAGTAGTCATATTAAACTTGAATTCCTTAAACTTGGAATGTTATTCATGTCTTGGCTCTTTGTTGTTCATGTACCTGGAATCCCTTTCCACACACTGAAGACTCAAACTTCTACCATCTCCCCCTCCCACAGGTGGGTTAACCTTCCTTCTTGTCATTCTTTGCAACGATGTAAGCATCACTTCTCCTAAAAGACACTGAAACCTTGGATGGCAAAGCTGTAGCTCATTCCTTCATCTCAATCCCCATCACTTGATAAGTGTTTGCTGAACCAACAGATACAAGAAAAGACTGCTGATGCACTCGTTCAAACACGTTTGGATAGCTCCCTTACAAATATATATATAAACTTTTGCTATGTGATGTCTAAATAATTAAAAGCTGGCACGTACAGGGTGCTTGCTGTATGCTAAGAACACGTATTAACCCATTACACCCTCACAACCCTATGAAGTAGGCACAAATATTATCTACAGTTTACAAGTGAGGAAAATTGAGGCTCAGAGGTTGTGATTTCCTCAAAGTCACACACTGAACAGCCCGGCAAGGCCCAGGGTCAGTCTCACTCCAGGGTCTGCTCTAAACCACTACCTTTAACTTTTCTATGCTGTGGTTGTTAATTCTACTGCGTAGGAATTGGAATTACAATGTCCTCTCCACGAGGGCAGTATTTTGCTCGCTGTTGTACCTTAGGACTCCGAATAGGGCTCGTTGGCTATGCTGAGTGAATGAATCCGCAGCCTACCACGGCATTAAGGGAATTTCCTGGACCCTTGTGCACTGCTCCCGCCTCAAATCCTACTACTGTCTTCCAAGAGCATCCTAATGACGCACGGTTCCGCCCCCCCCCCCACCCGCCTTCCTATCCGGCTAAGTCATCGCCGGCCTGGACTGCCTTCCCGGACTAGCTAAGTTGACATCCTCAGCGTTGTACTGCATTTTCTTTAACCCTTTCTACGAGACTGCTGGTTTCTCCTAGGAGTGCGGCTCGACCTCATGATTCTATCTTCTTCTACTGCACGCGGCAACGTGGACTCTTAGTAAACGTTTGCTGTGCTCTCCGAGCCACAGAGGCTCAGTGTCCGCGGCCCCCCGATCCCCACCCCCATCCTATGACTTCCCCACATCCCTCCTCCACTCCCGGGGGAAAGCTTCTCGGCCGGCCTTCTCTTTGCGGGCGACACGATTCTCAGTTGTAAGGGTTTCGCGTCCTCGAAGCAAGCGATTTTCCTTGGGGGGGCAAACACACTGGCCCCAGATGACGGTCCGTGAGGTCCTTTCCGAGAGCCCGAAGCTGGCTACCGCGCCGCACCCGCCGCGCGCCCCGGGCCCCCCCCGCTTCCGCGTCGAGGGGGCTCCGCTCCGGCCGGAGAAGCGGTGACCTGTCCCTCTCCCGCCCCCCCCCCCCCCCCCCCCCTTTCGTGGGTACCGCCCCTCCGCGCAGTCGGGCCGCCGCCTCACAATGGCCGGGCGCCTTCTCACCGCGCGCAGGGATCCCGGCCACGCGCGCTCCCCTCCCCCACGCGCCGCCTCCTCCGGGGCTCGGCCCCTGGCGCACATAGTCTCCTCCCTGCGCCCCCTGAAGTGGAGGAGAGGGAAGCGAGGCGCGCTCTTGCAGCCGCGGCCCGACCGCCGTTCGTCCGGTGGCGCCTGCGGCCCCCCACGGAGGAACTACTTTCTCTCCCTCAGGAGCACTACTTCGCGGAGGCGTCGGCGCTGGCGGCGCGCACGGCATGGCGGCGGCGGCGGCGGCGGCGCGCCTGAGATAGAGAGACGCCGGCCCGATCAGGCCTCGGCGCGGCCTACACGCTTCGCTCACCCGCTCCCGCCCCGGCTCCGCGCCCGGCCATGGCGGAGTCCTCGCCCGCCCGACGCCCGGTGCCCCTCATCGAGTCGGGTAAGACGCGCCGCCCGCAGCGCCCCCGCCCCGCCCGCGGCCCCCTCCCCGCC